GTCGAGGACGACGCCGCCAAAGCGGGGCCTCCTGCATCACCGGCGCAAGGGGGCGTCGAGCCGGTGAAAGGCGAGCTTCAAGAGACCATGGGAAGTCGTCCGAACGCTCAAGAAAGGAGTCTGGCAGAAGCGGCTGCAGACTATGATGCAGCAAGCCTCGGATGTCATCCGCAGTAGTTGCCATGTTCCGACTTATATGCCATCCGAGCTCACTGGTCCAGCAGAACAGACAATATGAATGACCCGTATCGATGAATGAGGAGGTGAGAGCCTGAGATAGTCATACTTGTGCTCGAGCTCAGGATCGCAGTCGGATTTGATTTGAGAGGGACGATAACGATTCTGTGTGTGAATATGTACATGTCGCATCGGACGACGGAATCAGGGCTTTCAAGCCTCCAGCTTTTGATTTGCCAGCTCTCGTGCCATGGTCGCTCGAAGATGTGGAACATCCTCCTGACTGAACGACCATTGAACGTCTTTCCAACGGCGTGTTGGCTGTTGTAGACAAGCTTCCTTGGCCCCCTGGGCAAGGAAAACCGCACAATCGTTACCACCAACCTGTCGGGGGAATGTCTCGTCCTCGTGAAACTCCCAGTCAAAGTTGACGTCTCTCTGTCCCCTTGCCTTGACCTCCTGGTTGAGGTACTCCTTGATCGCGTCAAGGTTCCTTTGCACCTCGTCCATTGCAGCCTTACTCCTGTTACGGATGGAATCGAAGTACACGTAGCGTCGGTGGCGAACGGAGACCAGCAGGAACGACCAGTGATTCCCTTGTAAATGGAAAGGGAAGATGGCGAGCTCTAGATCGAGTATATTGACGATCTGATCATCTCCGGCTGGCTTGTAGGTGTCTCGGCGTTTTGTGAATCCTCGGATGGCACGCGAATCGGTACGATTGGCAGAGTCCCAGATACGGAGGAAGTATGTTGGGTAGACCTTGACACGAGGTGCCCTCCCGTCTTGCAAGAGTGTGCGGTTGACGTGATCCTCGATCAGTTCAAAGTATGGGTTGAGCACCCCGTCGCTCAACCACTTGCCGGGCAAGAGCGTCTGGACTTCCGACGAGGCAATGCTCCTCTCGCCTATGCTCCAAGATGGACAGCTTTCCAGCTGTGAGAGCGCCAATATGACCGTGTGAAGCTGGAGGTCGCTGAGCTGCGGTGTCCCCCGAAAGCCTTCACTTGACTGCGTCAGTGAAGTGAGATCAACTTCCACGTTAGCTAGCATGATGGTAGAGTCGTCCGAGCCGTGTGGTGCCTTGGCCTGCTGGGGCGCTGGAAGAAGAAGCGGACTCGCGTTTCCGTGAATGGCATCTGGCTTGACGATCAACGCCTCCGAGGTAGGCGTATTGGTAGCAGGTTGCAAGGTGCGGACGAAGCCGAAGGTGTGCGCGCCTGAGACGTGTCGAAAGCAGACATGTCCTTGAGACATGAAGCATTCGTGGTCTAGCTTCTTGATGCACCAGCAGGTTGGATGTGTGGCCATGTCGAGTAGCACGTCTTCCGGTGGCTCGCAGTTGGTGCTGGAATCGACAAGCGTCAAGTGGATGACCGCCACATTGCCATTTCCTGCGGGGAGGTGGTACTCGGTCTTCGACTTGCGGTAACGGCTGATCGGGCCTTGCGTGAGGTGGAACCTGGTCAGGAGGTCGAGGATGAACTTGCTTTGTCTGATCAGCAAGTCGTCTAGATCGTCGTCGGGAATGACTTGGTCTGCTGGTTGCTCGGGAGCGGGCAGCTCGTCGAGAGCGCACAACTCATCGAGACGGCGAAGCGTGGATTCGCTACGCTTTGGCCCAGCGTACATGGCCGCGAGCCTTTCGATCGGCACTTGCACCAGGTCCAGAAAGTGCTGCAAGCCTGGAGTCAGGGCTCCTGCGGTCTCGATGCTTGGAGGGCGCTTGAATCTGGGCCGCTTCCCTCGAAGATCTTTCCGCGTCTTTCGCCATGCTTCGACGCGCCTGCTATGATCAGCCAGAGCTTCACCAGCCAACAGCCTCTCTCCCCATCCAACAACATCAGCAGCCAGTTCGTTGATCTGAATCTGCCGACCATCTTGCTCCATGGCTAGCCTGAGGAGCTGTGCACCAGCTTCGAGCTGAAGCTTGGATGAACTGATGACCTCATCGATGAGGATGGATGCAAAGTTTCTCGCATCGGCTGGAGCTTTTGAATCCTCTGCGATCTCGAAGAGAACTTCGAGCTCGCAATCGCCGCTAGCGACGGCAGAGAGGTTGAAGGAAGATCCGTTCTGTCGGTGGTAGAACGGCATCTTGGAGCGCTGGTCGGGAAGGAAGGTGATGGAAGGGAAGAAGGGAAGGAGAAGCGCTAATGGCCTGCGCAGATATCGAATCAGGCTTTGCTGCACTCGGCGACCTCTTCAGCGTACCAGCACAGAGAATGGATTACATCTGGCAAAGCGAAATGAACCGACGGCCATTGCTCGAAGTTGCATAAACACAAAGCTTGTCCATCACACCAGAACGCGTCGTCGCTTCCGGTCCGTTGCGAGGCGGTATCCGTAGGTGGAAGCTGGGCTTCTCGAACTTTGGAAGCTGGGCTT